GTAGAGTTAATCCACCATTTTAATCTCATTTGGAATAGGGAGGGAGGGAGGGAATGGGGGAGGCAGCGAACAAGAAGGGGGAGGGGGACCAGCGAACAATAAGAGGGAGAGCAGCAAACGGTTAGGAGAATAAATAATAAAATAGGGTAGTTTTTAGGATTTGGCCATAAAATGCTAATTATTTGGGGCTACTTTTGCCAAAATCTATTATAAGGCTAAAAATTTGCCAATTCCCCTTATGTATTGTCATCAGGTGTCAATTTTTCTTTTTAGTTTATCTAGTTAATTCTTCTAAAAAAAATGCTGATCCAGAAAATTTAAGCGCACGTAACTTGTAATTCACCGTTAGCCCAATATCAGCAAAACCCACTAATGCAGCCCAAATCCTCACAAGCTAAACTGAAAACAGCAGCCCACATTCAGCTGGAAATGTAAAAATGAAGCCCATGTTATGACAAGCTTCTAAAGTCCAGACCTTTAACCTAGTACTAGTACTCCTCTATTAAACCTCGTTTTGCCCTTTCCCCTTTTGAGAAGTAGGGTTTCCTCAATAGCATGTTCTGCGCCTTCGCGAACTAGGGCTGTACACGGATCGGATCGGATCGGATTTAGCACATTTCGAATTCGAATTTCGGATTCTAGAAAATGCAATCCGAATCCGATCCGAATTATATCGGATTGGATCGGATTTTAAAGTTTGGATCGGATCGGATTTAGCACATTTCGAATTCGAATTTCGGATTCTAGAAAATGCAATCCGAATCCGATCCGAATTATATCGGATTGGATCGGATTTTAAAGTTTGGATCGGATCGGATTTAGCACATTTCGAATTCGAATTTCGGATTCTAGAAAATGCAATCCGAATCCGATCCGAATTATATCGGATTGGATCGGATTTTAAAGTTTGGATCGGATCGGATTTCGGATCGTATTATGCCTCAAAGTTGCAAACTAATATGTATATTTTCTTTGTAAAAGAGGCAATACATTAAGAAAAATTCATGTTATGCAATTATGAGAGTACTATGATGCCAATAGAACTAAATCTAGCAATTGTAAAGGTAATAACTTGGAGGAAGATGCAAAGGAAGTCTGGCTATCCGAAATAAAAGTGTAGTATTTATACATTACCTAATAATTTCGAATTATGGATCGGATCGGATTAAAATATACCAGTCCGAATCCGATCCGAAATCCGAAATTTTAATAAACACAATCCAAAATCCGATCCAATCCGAAATCTAAAATCCGAAATTGAATGGATCGGTTCGGATTTCGGATATCCGATCCGAATGAACAGCCCTACCGCGAACTAGCTTGAAAGAGAAAAACTGAAGGATTGTTGTACCCGCATGTTATCTTAATTTTTGGTGTGTCATTTTGGGTAAGACATTTCTGCCCAAAATATATATATTCTGTGTATTGAGTATATGTTTTGGTTTTCTTTTACCTGAACCTGCCATACCAACAATTAAGATAACATTTAGGTTCGACGATCTTTTAAGTAATTATTGTACATCAAACCCGTTTTATCTTCCTGCGCACTTGGATTGCTAGTCCCAGAGGCGGACCTACGTGGTTGGTTGAGGGGTCACGTGACCCGTTAGCCTCGACAAAAACACTGTATGTATATGTGTGTGCACATATATGGGACCCCTTAAATATTTTATTTGTGACCCCTAACACATAAGGACAAATGGGAGAAGTGGTTGCTTTGCTAGCTCAAAATCCCTCCTTTGCTTAAAGGCGCTGGTTCGAATACCTCTTTCAGCAATTGCTCCTTTAATACAACGTAATTTATACTTCATAGCAAATTGTTTTATTTTTAGCATTAATATATGATAGTCCACTTTATTTTATTTTATTCAAGTTTCTCCTTAAAATTGAAAGTCTCAAATTGCAACTTGTCGCTCTACAAATAGAAAAAAACAAATCTTTATGCAACAACTTTAGTTTGACGCACTAACAACTAATTCTTTGACTATCAACGTACCTTTGATCTTGATTCCTTTAATAAATTTTTGATAATTTAAAGTTTGAACGCCCTTTTGATCGCTGACCCATTTTCTTAATTGAAAACTCGAAATTTTAAAATGTGAAACGTGCTTAATCAAACACCTTCCCTTCGCATACCACCCATTTTGCGAAAAAATCTCTCTCTGTTTGATGTTTTTTTTTCTTTAGAACTTCTTTTTGTTTATACTTCGCTAGTGATTAGCATATAGTGGTGTCCCCGTCGTGTTAAAATCCTGAGTCCACCTCTGGCTAGTCCATTCTTACACGAAAGTATTGTTGTACGTTGATGTTATCTCAGTGTTGGCATGCATAAATTGGGCAAGACATATCTGATGAAAAAGTATTTTCTGAGATGAGATACAGTGATGGAATATATTATACTTCTTCCATTTCAATTTATGTGAATATATTTGACTAGAAACCAAGTTTAAGAAAGAGATAACTTTTGAACTTGAGCACTGTTTTGGATGTCACATTGGTGAAGGACAGAGGCTTAAGGGGTATTTGAGTATAGGATGGAATATCATTTTCAGAATCAGGAGTTATTGTGGGAATAGGAGTAGGGGCAGGAATGCTGCAGGTTGAGTTCATATTTATGCCTTATGGTTGAAAAGAAAGATATTTAGGGGTTTCTACTAAGTTTAAGTTGAGATAATTTCTTGAAGTAGATGAAGGTAATGCAAATAGATTTGCTTGGCTGGAGCTTGGGTACTTTCTCTATTTTGGTGCTTTTTTATTTACTATTAGGTATGGTGACTGAATAATAGGATTACGACAGAAATTTAGGAGGCTAGGTTTGGGTGGTATAAATATAGGAGGTGTTTTAAATTTTTGAATGGGATTTAAAGTTATACTCCCTCCATTTCAATTTAGATGAGGTAGTTTAACTGGCATGGAATTTAAAAAAAAAAAAAGATTTTTGAAACTTTGGTCTTAAAAAGTTAAGGAGTAAAAGCTTTGTGGGACCATGATATTTGTGTGTTTACAAAAGCTTAAAATGAAAGTTCAAAGTTGAATTTTTTCTAAATTTAGAAATTTGTCATTTGATTTGAAATAGACTAAAAAGGAAAGTACATCATCTAATTTGAAACGAATAGAGTATTTGCTAACAAGTGACAATCTAATTTTTTTTAACAATTAATTTGGTAATATGTGAATGTCAGTTAATTACTTAGGTTACTAATTAATATTTATTATTAAAAGTTGTAATTACTCTCTACGTATTTTGAATATTGTACAAATATTCTTTTTACACCGTTAGCAAATAAAACTAACTAAAGATTGTGAAAACTACATCCAAACACCAAGTGAAGGAGGACTACAGAATTTGAGGTAGAAATGAGTTGTTCATCAAAACTGCTAGTTGTAATTAATTCAACGGAAAAGGGCCTAAAATGCCCCTCAACTATCAAGTTTGGTCTAAAATTGTCCCTCATCCACCTTCTGAGCTAAAAAACCCTACCCGTTAATGTTTGGGCTCACAAATGCCCTTCTTACTAACGGCCCAGATCAGATTTTTAATTTAAGTGACGTGGCATTAGATTATTGGCTAATTTAAAACCCACCCATATTATGTCCAACCCACTCATACCCGACCCATCACCCAAAATCAGTCCATATTTTCTAAACCCCAAAAACCCCTCCTCATCAAAATATGACTGACTCCTCCTCCTCTCTAAATTAGGGTTCCCCCAATTCTTGCTGCTCCCAACTTCTTCTAATTAGAGTTCTTAGATTTTCCATCTTGTTTTAGCTTAAAATGTCGGAATCTTCTTCTGCTGCTTCTCGTGGCCAAGGTGACAATCGTACATGTTATTGCGGATTGATTGCCAACCATTTTACTGCTACAACACCTTCGAATGGTGATCATTATGAGACTAATGGTTGTCGTTTATGGGAATGGCGCAATGAAGAACTTCCACCTCATGTGTCGATGTTTATCCACAAGCAAAAACTTTCATTGAATGCCCTTCGTCAAGAAAGGAACAACCTGAGGAAGATGGTGGATGATATGGTAAAGCTGCAGATGTGAATAACGCATCATTGGAGGAGAAAGTTTCAAACTTGGAGCAGAAATTGAAGCGATGGAAAATACTTGCGACATGGTCATGGATTCTTTTTGCTATTCTTGTAGTGGGCAGAATGATGTAATTAAGTTGGTGACCTCTAATATTTTGCGATTGTTGATAAAAAATTCCAACAGATTTGCATATTTTTGTACTTTTATGTGAATTAGTTAGGTCTAGGTATGATGTCCTGGTTGTATCAATAATGGAAATTTGCAGATATTAGTTATTTAAACTGGTTATTTTGATTGTTAAATGAATGAAATCTGCAGATTTTTGTTATTTTAATTAGCTCTTTTGGTTGGTGAAGGAAGGAAATGTGCATTTTCCTTTATTGCCTGTACAGTGTATTACCATTAGCATATGGGAAGTCAGATTTCCCATTAGCATTCTGGCTAAACAACCAGAAAATTGCTAAACATGAGCACAAAGTATACCAACATGAACAAATATGGTGAGGTTACTATGTCATTAAGAATCCACCCTTTCGTTCCTATTTTCCTTTTGCCAACCAAGAGCCTTGGGTAATAATAAATAACTATATAAATTGCTAAACTTTACTACAGTCTTGACTTCTCAATTTCTAATTAGCAACATTTTCCTGGAAAATTTGAAGGCATGTAATATCAGGTTGTAATAGACTTAGGTGAAGAAGTGATTATTCAAGGTAGTAACTTAAATCAAACCAAATTTAAGTAGTGCACTTTCTGTATGAACTAGAAGACATGCTCTGTTTTCTATATTTCATCTTACCTCTCTATTTAGTGAACTTATTATTTGATCGGCTGATTGCACAACAACCTTGCTGCAACAGCGTCATTAAACAAAATTAACTAAAACTGGAGAGCATTTCTTAAAGCAACCTTGCTGCAACAGTACGTTTAAAACAGAGTCATTAAACTCACAATAAGTCTGAATCAACAATCGAATCAACTGATTCACAGTCATTACACAAAAGTTTATACAAAAGTCATTAAACTGAACAAACTACTCTAATGCTTGGCCTTTTTAGTCTTCAGTTTTCCAATTTTTTTTTCCTTTTCTGCTACCAACTGGCTTGAGGACATAGCTGATTTTCCTTTCCATGTGAGCTTCTTTGGTGAATAAGGCAGATCAGTAGGCACATTGACACCATCTATATCTCCTTTGAAGGCAATCTTCCTGGTACCAATAGGTTCTTGATGCAACTTTCTTTGTTGAAGCCTAGTCATAGCTTCAGATATCACCTTAGACATCACATATGGCTCTTCGTCTTCATCTTCATATCCACCTTCATATTCATCATCAGCTAATATTGAAGGTGCAACAGATTGTTGAAGTGTGTTTTGAAGTCCATCAAATTGACTGGAAGGTTCAGGAGAGGTCATTCTCATACCCGAAGTAGGCATGAAGGCAAATTCTAAATTTTGACTGTCTTGGGGTGCCGTCAAGGGCACATCTTGTACTGTTTGGGAAGTTCCTTCACCATTAGCCTACAAGAGTTATTAATTAGAAAACATTATGAATTAAAAAAAATTGTAAGTTAAGAAAATATGTGGAAAGGACCGTTACCAAAGGGCATTTTCTTCTGTTGTGACCTGTTGTACCACAGAACCCACATGTCATTATAAGTCACTTTCTTGAAGCTGACCAGACCCCCTTCCTTTTCCTGGCCTCATCCTTTTCTCTTTTTCTCTTTACCTTTGGTCTACCCATCATTTTATGTACTTCTGGTGGCTCCATTGAATGTTCTGGCTCAATTTTCCAAAATTTCTCACCTCTCACAGGTTGTAACTTGTGCATGTATGCCAACATATAAGCTTCCTTTGAATACCACCAATGCACCACGCTTAATGGATCTTGTTTGTCATGCATTAAAGCTTTGATGGCATGAGGACATGGTATTCCTATCAAATTCCAGGCCCTGCAAGTACACTTCTTTAATTCAAGGTTCACTGTATGCTTATTTTTACCCTCAACCACTTCATATCCGTAATCTCCATTAAAGATAACTTTGCACTCTATTGCAATCACTCTATAATCATTGTAAAGCTCTATGGCATATGGGCTAATTTCTTCCTTCCAATTCCTACATTCCTCCTCACGGTTCTTCAACAAATTCATTACCTACAATAAAAGGAGATCATTGGAAAAAATTAACAACCAATTTATAAAAAGTTAACAGAAGAAAGATACAAAATTTACCTTTAATCTAATGTCTTCCAACATCTTAATTATAGGTTTATTTCTAGCTTCAAGAATCCATTTATTGAATGATTCTGTAAAGTTATTATCAACCATATGATTCTTGCATTTAGTATCAAAATAAGCCCTACACCAATATTGAGGAGGGTAGTGTATTAGTTCCCTAGCAGCATTTTCATGAACATCACCCAGTCTTCAGTTGATCCTTGAACTCTTCTTCATAGGTACTCCAAGCACACCACCACATTAACTTTTTCATCTCTATACCCCTCCAATTTTTGCTCTAATTAGCTTCAATGTGCCTAGCACACCATATGTGATTTGCTTTTGGAAGGATAGTAGAAACAGCCTCCAAAAGCCCCTACAACAATAAAAAAAAAACTAGTTACAAATAAAATGTAAATTAAACAAAGAGATAAAAAAATTGACAGACAATTACCTTTTGCATATCTGACATAAATGTCACCCCTTCACCATCTTCAAACTCCAAGGAATTTCTCAGTAACTCCATAAACCACTTCCAGGTTCTACCAGTTTCTTTATCAACTACTGCCCATGCAAGAGGATAAAAATGTTTCACTGAATCTTGTGCCATTGACACCAGTAGAATTCCCTTACACTTCCCTTTTAGAAATGTGCCATCTATGCCTATAAGAGGTCTCAAACCTGCTTTCCAGCCTGTTTCCAAAGCTTGGAAGCAAATATATNAAAAATATTTCACTGAATCTTGTGCCATGGCCACCAGTAGAATTCCCTCACTTCCCTTTTAGAAATGTGCCATCTAGGCCTATAAGAGGTCTCAAACCTGCTTTCCAGCCTGTTTTCAAAGCTTGGAAGCAAATATACATTCTAAGGAACCTTCTTTTTCCTTCTGCCAAAGCATCTTTAGATATGTTTATCACCACATCAGAACCAGGGTTACTATCCCTCAACTCTTGAGCATATGCCTCTAACCTATTGTAATCATCAATGAAGCTACCCTCCAATTTCTCTAGCCCAAGCCTCTTTACCCTCTTCATCTTTGAATAGCTAACATTCAGATTGAATTGATCCTCTAGGTCCACCCTCATGTCTTTCACTTTATATTTAGGATTATTTTGGACTTTGTTCTTGAAATAGTGCGGTAAAGCTTGGGGAGTAGCTCTTCTATTCTTGTATGCTGGCTGACAATTGTGTCTTGTTTTCAAAGTCTTAATTTTAAATCCTTAGATATCAAGCACTTAAAAGGACAACCAACATCACATCTATAACTAACTCTACCAGTATCACTCTTAAAAACTTTAAGGCCCTTTTTATTAGCAATTGCATAAAACCCCACAATTCTTTTAGCTTCATCCAAATCTTTAAAACTCATACCCTGTTTCAACTCTTTATAGTTGTCTAGTTTGTCATTAAGTTCTTTAGTCCTTTCCTTACTAAAAAGATCCAATTGATTACTATCATAATCACTAGAGTCAAGTTCATATGCTTCCTCTTCCTCACTTGACTCACAATCGGTGCCAACATCTACTGTGATACTATAAGGTTCATTATGGTGACTTATGCTAGGAGCTGGCACATGTTCTTCACCCTCATCAATAGCAAAGAATTGAAACGCACTAAACTTGTCAGAAAAGAGTTGTTTTAGTGTTCTGATTCCTGAATCACCTTCAACCAGAAAGTATCTACTTGAAAGCCCTGTTATCAGAAGTTGTTCCACCTTCTTAAACCCACATTTTCAATATATTCTGAACAAATGTCTATATAAGACAGCAAATCCACATCATAGGCTTGCAACACGTGAGTTAGTTTTTTAATGTACACTATTTGAGGGTTCAAGACCCACCTGCCCCCATAATTCAAAACCAAGTCCACCTTTTCAACCATTCTTCATTGAAGTCACATGCAATCCATAAAAGAAAGTAGAAAGTGACCCATCAGATATATATATATATATACAGAAAAGTTAGAAGGAATCTATCAATATTTAATCATCTAAAGTACAAAAACAGCAAATAGACTATTCAATAAAAACATTCAAAACTTACTTGAACAAAGATAAGATTTTATATTTGATCTTCAACTTGAATCTTGGAAGAGAAATAGCAAATAGCAGCCATATGATTTACGAGGAGCAGCAAGAATTGGGGGAACCCTAATTTAGAGAGGAGGATGAGTCAGTCGTATTTTGACGAGGGGTTTTTGGGTTTAGAAAATATGGACTGATTTTGGGTGATGGGTCGGGTATGGATGGGTTGGACATAATATGGGTGGGTTTTAAATTAGCCAATAATTTAATGTCACGTTACTTAAATTAAAAATCTGATTTGGGCCGTAAGTAAGAAAGGCATTTGTGAGCCCAAACATTAACGGGGAGGGTTTTTTTAGCTCAGAAGGTGGATGGGGGGCAATTTTAGACCAAATTTGATAGTTGGGGGGCATTTTAGGCCTTTTTCCGTTAATTCAAAGCATGACATGGTCAAAGTTGAAACTTATCAGCATTGATGACCATTACTCTCACCGTTTCAATTTATACGAGGTAGTTTGATTCGGCACGGAGTAGAAGATTATTCTCACCGTTTCAATTTATATGAGATAGTTTGACTCGGCACGAAGTAGAAGACTTTTGAAAATTGTGGGCTAGGGATGGCAAATGGGTGGGTTGGGCTAAATTTAGGCAGGTTAATATGGGTTAGGTTAATAAATGAGTCATTGCCCAACCCAGCCCAAATGTACTTGGGCTAAGATGGGTTGGGTCAAAATGGACTAAACAATGGGTCATAGCCCAACCTGCCCAACTTGACCCATGTTTTAGAATCATGTTCATCTTGTATACAAAAGCCTTTTATCTTAAAATGTGTAAGTTGAAAAATATTTTGAGAGTGGGGTGGGGNGGGGGTAGGGATGGATGGGTGGTGCAGAAAAAAAATTGAAAATAAAAATATAAAAAAAAGGTAAAAAATTCGGGCAACTAAGTAAATTTTTAGATAAGTTGGGTTGAGATCTCTTTGTTTTAGGTGAGGTTCATGGGTTGTATTTGGGCTGATTAATGGGTCAGAATGAGCTATAAAAATATGGTTTAACTTGGGTTCCGCCCAAATAGACCCATGAGCCAAAATGTTTGTAGCCCAACCCATAATCTCTGGGCGGGTTGGATGAATTTGGGCTCATATTTGTTGTCTTAAAAGCTTAAGGAGTAAATGTTTTGTGGGGTCATGACACTTGTGTGGTTATAAAAGATTCTCATTAAGGTTAAAATAGGTAAAATAAAGAGTTTAAAGTTGAATTATTTCCAAATTTAGAAATGTATTATTTATTTTGGAATAGACTAAAAAGAAAAGTACCTCATCTAATTTGAAACGGATGGAGTACATGAATTGATTAAACGCAAAGAGGAAGAGGTATCAGTTGACCTTAACCCTGCTACCAAACCAGTGAACGTTGTCTCTTGTTTGAATAAGGAGATGAGAATTAATTGATGCCCAAGAAGGTATTCATGTGTAGGTGTAAACTCATAGGGGGAATTTAACACGAGGGCCAAAAACTATCAAATTGGAATCCATGGTTATGAGTTTACCTTGAAGATGGATTTAATTAGTAAATTCAGACACTAGATTTATGCTTCTATCATCAGTATCATTTCGATGTTCTTGTTATTGATATGATTTTTCCTAACACAGTAACACCTAATTATTACGTGTCCGTTATTAATCTTGCTTTATTTTATGTCAAAGACTAGAAATTATGATTCTTTTTTTTGG